TTTTTGCTCTACTAGTGACCTCTCTGGAAGCTGTATCAGACCCATGCAGCCCACCTTTAAGGGCCCCTCTTAGAATTACAGGATGTAAAACCTGGATTAAATCTTGCCCTGTGTGTGGGTTTTTGTTTGTTTGGTTTAATCCCGTTGAGACACCACTGATTTACAAAGGTTGGCTTGCTTTACTCTGTCATTTTGATTGGGACCAAATTCTATCTGATCTTCCTCTACCTAAATAAAAATAGTCCTTTACACTTTAATGGTACACCTGTTTATATGTACAACAGAATATATAAATTCATTCTTTTTTCACCACTTCCCTCCATCAGCAGAGCATAACAGAAGCTCCAGGCTCTACAGCTGCAAATCCAGTGGCTCACCTGAAAACAAGCTCTCTCAGCTTGTTTATTTGTGTGGCTAAAAGTTAGCATTTGGTGGTTTTGGGGCATGGCACAAATACTGTGTACAGGCTCAGCATTTGATGCCCTGATGGCTTGAAGTTGTCTTTTTCCTTGAATACTTTCTGTGTTATCAATAGGAGCCTGCTTGGCAGACAGCTCCACAAATGGAGGACTGTCCGTGATTTGCCCCGAGTTTGTTGCTGGAATTCTTTCTCAGAAGCTTTATGTCAATTGACAGCCTTTTTCTCAGGATAGGGTCATATAGTGTTTCCTCAGTGTAGTTATTCTTTATTTTTGGTTCCTGTTCTTTCTCTCATAATGGAAAATCTGTAACAGGTGGCCACAGACACACCAGACTTTCGTGCTTGGGAGCATAAAGGACCATATGCTCTATGATGGCAAGTATGGAGATAATAAGTTGTAGGAATAAGCAACCAGCTTATATGAAAAACAAGAGCTGGCTTGAATTTTTGATTCAAATTTGACTAAAGTAAAACTTTCTCTGTTCTCAAGTGTGTTTGGTTTTTCTTCTGTTTTGCTGCCTACTAGCTGGTTTCAGCTGGAAGTGAAGTTTTTTTTTAATTTGCGAAGAGGAATGTTCTGACATTTTTACCAGACAGCCTGGGTGAGATCTGGGACCCTTGAAGTCAGTTGGACTTTTGCCATTGGCTTTAATGTGGCCAGAATTTCCCTGCATGAGAACCGTTTTGCTTGGTTCTGGGGAGGGTATGTCAGAAAACAACAGGAATCTTCCAAGACAGGGATTTTGTGTGAGATTTTGGACCTTAAGCTTTCTTGGTCTAAATGGGGTCTTGCAGTTAAGGGTTTAAATTCTCTCTGGAAGAGCTTGTTTGTGAATATGTGAAATAAAAAAATAGTGATGTTGGTTGAAGCTGAATTCAGCCCATGCTGTACAGCACAATTTACCCAGATGTTGTGCCATTTCAACCACTACTGGGGTCTATTATCTGACCTGGCATCAGGTGCTATAGACACTGAATTTCCCTATTTCCTTGTACGCAAAGCTGACTTTCAATTCTGTATTCTGGGTCTTGGCCAAGATAAGATTTTGTGTGTTTGTTTTGCTTTTTTGAGGCTGCTTAATGTCAGTCTCTAGTTTGTAAGGAAGGGAGAGATGAGCCTCATTAATATATTAAAGTGTTGAGCATTGACAAGAGGTAACACTGTGTTTGGTCTGAAAATACTCTTTGTAAAGACCTTAGAGATACTGTTGGCTACTTAAATACATGCCAGAACTGTTCGTATGAAAAAGTTCAAGTGAAACTGGACTAGCCCAGATTAGTTATCAGAAACCTAAGCTGGTATTTGTTTTGTTTTTTGTTTTTGTTTCCTCATACCCCATGACGGTGGGACAAATTCATTTAGCAGCTGATGATCTTGCATACTTTTCCACTCACACAAGTGCAGTCAGAAATGTTTTGAGAAGATTACTTGTAAGGTCAGAACAAAAATTACAGAATTTGTGTGCAAACAGGATATTTCAAGTGAGTTTGGGAGGGGGAAACCCTGCATTGTTAAAGGATGTATATGCGTTGCATGCAAGGAGAACTTCAGTCACTTTATCTCACTGTAGTCTCTTTATTTAGAGATTTTTGTATTTACAGGCTGATAATTTCTTCCTGAAATACAAATTAATTATATCTGTGTCTGATCACAGATGTGATGCTGTTTTGAAAAATCTTTCAATTTGGAACTCTCATCTTTTGCAAAAAAGCTCACCACAAAACACAACTTTTCACTGTGAATAACTGAAGTACATACACAAGGCCTGGTACTAGTTGTATGAGTCCTACCATGTTTTTTTAACGTTAAAAAAATGTCAGATTTGGTGTTTTCGAAAGGAGTAAGTGCTCAGAGCATCTTGTAATGACTGCCCATGGACTGGAGAGGAGGGAGGAGAGTTGAAATGGAAAATGAATTAGATTCTTACGCTGTGGAAGGGGGAACATTCCTGCACAGAGAAGCGACTCTGGAGATAAGTTTTAATTTCCTGAGCTCCAGTCCCTGTATAGGAACATTGAAAGACTTCCTTCCTGATAACCAAGTCAAGCCAGCGGCTATATTAAATGGTGTGTTTCTGTATATAATTGCATGCTTGTGTATGTATTTGCATAACTGCAGTATAAATACAGTGTACCTGTAATGATAGAAGTCAACTTTTAGAGTGTGTTGTATGTATTCAAGGTCTGACACGCTGCAGCTGAGATGTTGTAATAGAGCAATGTCTATTTAGACTTCTGTAAAGGATCTCTTTCTTACTCTATCTCTACTTAAAAAACAAAGCCCAGCCAAAACAAAAAATGAGAAAACCACCCTCTCCAACTGCTTGTCTTGCATTTTTCAGAGAGTCGGGGTTATGGTTGCACCTTTAAGAATGATCAAGTCACTGAGGTGGATGTGTTACAGATTTCTAATGTGTCTCCTCTCTCTGCAGTATTGTTATAACCCTTTCTGTATTACTAAAGTGTCATTGTTCCATGATTACTTTGACAAAACCATGAAGCTCACTGTGAGTGGTATATTAGTAAGCATTTCAGGAACAAATATTGCAAGAGTTTTCTTGCAGGCATTTGCTTATTTACAGAAGGCACAAAGCAGTTATAAAAAAATGTATAGATTACCTCAAATACTGCATTTTCAAAAATACGTTTCAGAGTTCCAAACTGCATTTCATTTTAACAATTTTAGTTTCTGGTAAAACTGGTTTAATTTGCTGTATTTTTGTTTTGTTTGTTCGGGTTTTTTTTAATAAGTGAACCCTAGGGTTTTTCTTTATATATTACAGGATCTTGGGATAAAACCCTAAGTCTAAATAAGTAATACTGTGCTAAGATGAGCCACAGGATAGCTTGCTTTGTGAAGCACAGATTTACTTGAATTCCAGGCTATTGCCTGGATACCCCAAACTGAAACAAAATTACGTACATCCCTCATTGCAGTTTGTGCAGTAGCATCTGAATTAATGGTGCTACTGAGCTGTCTTACATTTATCAGTTCACCTACTGGAATGTCAGATATTAAAAGGTCATAGCAGCTAAATGAGAATCTTATAGGTTTTAATTCCACTTGTCGATAGCTCTTTCTTACAGTTATTTTTTAAATAACCATTCATAATTAGCCCCAGAGTATCTGTTTCGTATTACAATGAGAGAATTTGTATCAGCTTATATGATTTTAGAAAGCACATTGATGTACACAAGATCAGAAATCAACTTTCACTTATTTTTAAATTGTGCAAGTGTATGTATTGTATAAATGAAACTTTATAGCCTGTGTAGTTGTTTAACTTTTTCTATAGAACTACTTTGGAAAAAACAAAGCCGTAAACTTAGAGATTCTGATGGCACTAGAGTGTTGCCAAGTAAACCAGTAAAGATAAGTCAAACTGTAATTCTATAGAAATGTTATGAAATACTTCTGCATATGTGCTGTAGTTGTTCTTAGGTTCCTGAAGCTGCTTGTGTGTAAAGTCAGCTGTGGAAATGGCTGGCTAGCTAAAAGCTACGATTCCTGCAGCTTGACTGTTGCGGGGAGAGGTTTTTTTCTGTGAAAACAGTTGTAAAGTGGAACATCTGAAAAATATGTTCCATGCAAAATGGATCTTCGCACACATTTATTTTGACATTTAGGTTTGATTTGAGAGAAAGAGGGAGAGAAGATTCTGAAATAGCCATTCACAGATGGCTTGTGTGGGTTTTATTTTTTATATGCTTCTCTGTGTTTTTGGTTTGGAGTGGATTTTTTTGCATGTGTTTGCAGACTTGTCAATCCCCCTTTTCCCCGATCACGTTTAATTTTTTATGACTTGAATTTTTGTCCTCTCTTCAGAAGAAGGGTTTAAAAACTGAAAAAAGGAAAAGGGGGGAAAAAAAACCCTTCCTACCCTAACCTCAAATCAGCAACAAACTACCCCAAACCTACCAACCAACCAAAAAAATAAGAACCTCAACTCCCTGACCAAACCCCAATCACCACCTTGAGGTGTAACTTCCTGTGATAAAAAAATTATCTTGGCAGTGAGTGGAAATTTATGCATTTTGTGGACTTTGCTAATACAGTAGAAACCTCTTCAGGAAGCACGAAATTCTCCTATCTTTACCACTTCATCAGGGAGTAAATGTGGGGAGTTCAGAGGGCCGTGTAAGCTCAGCTGGGGGAGTGCAGCTGGCAGAACCTGGTGTGTGTTCAGCTCGATGGGTGAAATGCAGATGTCATGTATCTGGCCACCCTTCTGCAGGGCTGGACTCGACCTCTAGCCCTTACTGACAGGAATGGCCTTTCCAGGTGGCAGTCAGGGGGGAATTGTTAGTGCTTGGCCATTTTCTTTTGAAAGTGTTCAGTGGAAGCTCTTGCTGATGAACTGAAACATGTCTGGGAAGCAGGTCTGTCTGTGTGTGAGGAATAGAGACTCTAAGTGGGTGTTGGTAATCTCTTCTTTGTGAAATGCTGGTGTGAAATACCCTGGTAGTCCAATTTTGATTATGAAATGAATATTCAGTGTATTCAGTTATTTTTCATTAAGGAAACCATATGAATGCCATCACTGATAGATCTCTTGTTTGTTTTGTTTTTTAATCCCAGAAGAAGTTAGCTGTATACAACAAGATGCAGGAGTCTTTGGAAGTGACCCTTCCCAGCAAACAAGAGGAGGATGAGAAAGACCAGCCTGCTGAGATGGAGTACCTTAACTCTCGCTGCGTCCTGTTCACTTACTTCCAGGGAGACATTGGTTCAGTAGTGGATGAACACTTCTCAAGAGCTTTGAGCCAAACCAGTAGCTTCAATTCGGAAACTGCCCTTACCAAGAGCAAGGCAGGGCTAAGTCCTCTGTGGAGAGGTAAGAGGAGCAGTAAATTGCTATCTGTGGTGTGGCTTACTCAGTCTGTGTTGTGGTAATACATATTGCATTGCAGTGGAAATTTTACTTCTCTGTGGAGGAGGAAAAATCCCCCTCAAATTTGAAAGAACCGAGGATCTTCTTGGGTTTGAGTCATCTGAAGTATTAAAGGAGGAGAGAGGCGCCGAAGGCATTGAAGAAACAGGCCTCTTCCTCTCTTGCCATAGCCTCTTGTCTTTGCCAAGGCCTGGACAGGATGGGTTAGAGCTCACGTGGCTTCACAAACGTCTGCTGCAAGGTTGGAGGCTTTTTTTCAGCTCCAAGTGTGAAACTTGGCCTGTGAGGCAAGAGCAAAGCTGCTTGGGATGCTGGCCTTGGATGTGAAGGAAACCTATGCAGCCTTCTCGGGTGACTTTGCCAGGTGATTAGGATTTGTCCACGGCTGCTTTCCAGGCAGGGAGGAGCCAGCACAGACTGGAATAGGCTGGGGGGCAAGCCCTGGTCCTCATGCTTGCAGCCGTGCAGTGTGGTGCATTGCAGCTTACTCAAGGGAGAGATACAGCTGATGTTACGGCCTCCTTCATGTAAAATGGGGATGACGTTACTCTACTTCCAAGCAGTGATTAGAAATGTGGTAGGTACTGTGAGGCATTTGCATGCTGTCATAACATTGATATCTTGTTATGCATATAAATGCTGATCTGTATCAGTGCAACAAAGAGAAGATCTTGCCAGATACACTAGGTAGACCTTAGAGATAAGATTTCAAAATTGGTGACTGAAGAAAGCCTCCCAGTAAGATGCTATTTCCATTTTGTTGAATGTGGCAGTAGTTTTTCAGATGCACAGCTGCGTTCTTTCTGATCACATCCTTATGTGGACTGGCAAAGGGATGAGAGGTAAGCATCGTGGCCTTCTGTTGGGTTGAGTGAGGGAGATACCGGTGGGATCTGTGTAGGAGCAGTGGTGCTCGTAATCAGCAGTGCTGAGGTGAGACTGTATTGATGAAAGTCACAGATATTAAAGAGAGACATGATTTTTGGAAACCACCGGGAAGAAAAAAATAGCACACAAGGACTTGCTTTCCAGAAGGATGATGACAAATCCGAGGAAGTTTAAGCAAAGGTCAGCACAAGTGGCTAGGGAGCTAGAGGAATTTATGGCTTGAGCCGGGACCATTAACGTTAATGGGAAATTTTCCGTTGACTCGACTGAGAACAGGATTGAACCTATGCTTGCTAAAAAGGACGCTGAGCATTTATAAATGGCCCAGACAGGCTATAAATGTTTTAGAGATGGGATCAAGGCACTCCCTAGAGACCCCATGCCCACAGCAAGCCCTCCTCACTGAGCTTGGAGACATACCATGAGTGGGGTTGTGTGTCTTCTCTTTGGCCTCAGACATACCCTGCTGTTTTTCCTTGGCTCCCCTTGTGGTTGCACAACTGTCCCCAGAGGGCTTTGCAGGGGACAGGGTGGCCTGGTGTAAGGGTTCTTAAGCCACGCTGCCTTCTGACCCCATGTGCCACATGCCATCAGTGGGACACGGAGGTCTGTGTGTCCTGAAAGTCTTCCAGGAATAAAGTAAGGAGATATGCCCTCTGCCATTGCTGCACCTGCTGAAGTGGTATGAAAATCCCTGGGGAGGCCACTGGGCAGGGCTGTTTGGTTCTGCACTGTAGATGTCGGGAGAGCTGGGGGTATTTTGCTGCTCCAGGGAAGAAAAGCTGACAAGAGTTTTACCAGGCCCAAATGAGTTTCTGAAACATGCCTGCTTGAAAAAAGTGAGGAAGGAATGATTCTAACACCTTGGTCTTCTGGTTTATATATGGTATGCAGAGATGATCAGTTGAAAAAAAGGACATGAATTTGTATCCCATTACCTTAAGAAGTTAAAATATCATTATGTTGAAATTCTTTTATAAGTAATCTTCATGGGTAGTCAGAGTTTTTGTTGATTTTATTGCTCAACGATAAAGTAAAAAGAAAAAAGCTGCTGCACTAGCTGTTTTGGAAGGTGCAAATTTGAATGGAAAGTGCATGAGCGTGAACTGGCTACCCAACTCACTGTTATTTCTCCTTTACCTGTTTTTGGTTTTTTTTCATCTTTTTGTTTGTTTGCAAATTTGAATGGAAAGTGCATGAGCATGAACTGGCTACCCAACTCACTGTGTTATTTCTCTTTTACCTGAAAGGAGAGATTAGTAATGTTTTTTTTCTTTTTTTCATCTTTTTGTTTGTTTTTATTTTATTTTTAAAAGTGTCTTGATCAAAGCATGAACTTTGTTTTTATACTGTGGCCTTTTTTTTTGTTTTGAGGAGGGATTTTGCTTACAAATAAGTAATAGAACTTGTTGTTCTGAAAAAACTAGTTTTTGTCATTTGTGTGTTGAAAATACTGATTGCTTTAGGCTAAAATTCACAGGAAACCTGATTTTGTATGATACACGGTTCCCCACCACAGGATCCACTAACATGGACTTTGAATATTCAATTTTAGGTCTAGCTACTTGAAGTCTTTTGCAGGTACTGATGAAACTAATGATGCCTTGAAAGTAATGTTACCTTAATGATATTTTTATCAACATGTTTTTCCTGGCTGAAAGTGTTTGGTTGTTTTTATTTCTTATTTTTCTTCTTGCCTTAACTGAGAAGTAATGTTGTGCTACAGAAAATTCCATACATTGTCTTCTTTACAGCGTGTGCACTTTGGCATGTTTTCAGGGCATGTTGGCCAGCCACCACGAACATTTGCATTAGTCACCACTTCGTGGTATCCGGGATATTGCCATATCCCTGCCTCCCTGTACTTAGGGTAGGAAATTGTGGTAACTGCACTATCTTTCTTGGCAGGCAGTTTTATTAAATGACTCCTTCCACCCTCCTGGAAGCCCATGGAAGCTATGGAGATTATTTTTTTATTTCTCAAGGACTGTGCAGAAATGGCTGTTTCTCTCTTGCGATGTTCCATAGAGGGCAGATATATGTGAGCACTCCGGGTGTATGAAGTTTTCTTGCATGTTTCTGTAACTTGGATGGACCCTGTATCTCCAGTGACATCACTCGACCTTAACCAGTGAAGTTGGCCTCTGCAGCTACAATTACTGATGTCTCAGTGGGGACTGATCCATGACAGTTTCTGACAGCAGTAATTGCTTTGTGAAATGTGCACAGGTTTGAAAAACGGAGATGACCAAACATGTTTTCTGTGGCCTAGACCTCCTGCATGATTGGTAAAGCCAAGCTGTTAGGAAATCTGGGATGAATTCATATTGGCAAATCCAGTGGTTTAAAGTGCTCTCTCCTGGTATTAAAGCTGTCCTGCAGATACTTTGTGGTTTTCTGTGCTTTTTTGAAGTGTGATGCTTTGGATTTAGGGCTTTTCCGTGCAGATAGCAGCCAGATAGTTTTCAAAATCTCATGATTACAGAGGTTAGTTTTCTTGAATATTGGCAGAGTATTGTCAAGCTGTGCTCTTCTGTTAAGTAGTTTGGAAAACAATAGACTGGACATGAAGAAGTTTGATTTTGCTTTTTTTGTGTCAGCCCTGCTGCCAACACCATAAGCCATATGCACTCTCCATCTCAGCATAATCCCTTGTAATAAGGAATGATTTACAAACACGGAGTAATACCAATTACTGAGGGGTGCTGAGGCTTCTGTAACGTGCTTGAAGCTCTTTCCAGTCTTCAGGCATGAATTGCAATAGAAATACGTTACTAAAAACAACCCAGCCTTTTGAAGAAACCATGTTGGAGTACAGTTTGTTAGATAAGCTTGCAACCTCTGAAGCATTTTGGCACAGAAAGAAGTTCTCTATGTTTGCCCACGGTGTGCTTGCAGAGTTTGTTTCCAGTATCGGAAGTTAATCAGTCTCGATAAACTGCCTAGGTCAAAGCCAATTGATATGTGGAAAAAATTTCTGTGATTTTAATGGATTTTAAAACACTAACATGAGTGTCCTAGCGATGCAGTCAGAAAACACTTGTAAGTTTCTGTTTCCAAAGTATTTTTGTATAAGCATAGTTCAGAGGCAGGGATGTTTGAAGAATCTGTTCATTCTCAATGGTGTCTTCACCCAAGTCCAGTCGCATATTAAACAAAGACAAACAAAAGGCAATTTTTTACAAAAAGTATTTTTATACAAGTTACACGAGGAACAGAGGATTCCTCGCCTCATCAAATATTGAACTTCCCTGGCTTTATTTCTCTGTAGGCTATTTTTATGACTGTTCTTTCATCAGAGGTGAAGTCCTGTATTTTTATGTTTCCATCTTTGACCAAAAAAAAACCCTTATTTGAGCTGAGACATATTGCATGAAACAGTACTTTCTAACATGAGTTGGCAAGAGGATTGTGAGAATGGAGATGCCAATACTTTCCTGCACATCAAAAACACTAACCCCTCCTTCAAGAGAGGAATTTTTAGAATGTGATTTCATAACGGAGAGGTATTGGAATCCATTTAAATATAAGTTGAGCCCTAGCTGTAAGAAGCAGCGAGTCTTTTATTTCTGACAAAAACCTCTTTGAGCTATGTAGATGTTTCAGCTTGTATGATCCTATTGGGTACAGGGCAACATGATATATTCTATAAGGGTTTAACATAAGGTGTGTTAGATATGATCTTGATCCCATCAAAACATGCAATTTGTTTGGGAAGATCTGGTATTCTTCCTTTAGTCAAATGTCTCCTGTTTTGCCGCATGCCTTGGTTCTCTGTCCTCAGAAGCATTTACAGTCACAACAGCTGCCTTTTTAAATGATGTGTTCTGGTCTGGTCAGGAGTTAGCCTCTCCTTGTAATTCCTGTACCAAGATCCTGAGAGGGCTGTGACTCTTCAGCCTGAAGAAGAAAAGTCTTCTTGGGGAGGATCTTATCAGTATGCATAAAAACCTGATGGGAGGGAATGAAGATGGGTTAGCCAGGCTCTCCTCAGCAATGCCTATTGACAGGGCAAGATGCAATAGCACAGATTAGAACATGTTCCATCTGAACACAAGAAAACTCGTTTCATTTTGTTTCGTTGGTTTGGTTTTTTCAATTGTTGAAGGTGGCTAAAACATGGAACAGGTTGCCCAGAGAGGCTGTGGAGTTTGGATCTCACTCAAAGTCTGGATACAGTCCTGGACAACCTGCTCCAGGTGACCCCTCTTGAACAGGGGGATTGGACTAGACTGTTTCAAGAGGTTTACTCCTACCTCAGCTGTCCTGTGATTCTGTAATTTCTGAAGATGTTTGAGTTCAGTGTTACGGAAGTTTGAGTTCAGAGTAGCAAATCATTGTGGGATTTTTGTCATGACGTTTGTTGTTCAGCTTCAGTCATTCTTCATTTCTCTTCTCTCTACCAGAAAGCTCAACAATTTCAAGCCAAAGGAGCAGTTTCCCAACTCCATTTTGGACCAGCTCTTATCAGCCTCCTCCTCCACCATGCTTAAGTGGAGTACACCCTGATTTCCCCGTTACTGCACCAGGCACCTTCCCAACACCAGATCCCAGCAGCTGGCCAGGACACGGCCTTCATCAGACTGCCCCACCTCCTCCCCCTGCTGCATCCGAATCCTGGCATTATCCTTTAGCATCTCAGGTGAGCCCTTCGTATGCACACATGCATGATGTGTACATGCATCGCCATCACCCTCATCCACACATGCATCATCACCATCCCAGCTCACACCGCGACCCCCGGTATGGGTCCCTGCTGATGCCTTCAGTCCGCGCAGCCAGGATTCCTGCTCCCCAGTGTGACGTGACAAAGACAGATCCCGCTGCTGTCACCAGCGCTACCTCAGCATGGGCTGGAGCCTTTCATGGAACAGTGGACATTGTGCCAAGTTTTGGGTTTGACACAGGTAAGATGGTTTGATTGTGTCTGTGACTTGTTTTAGCAGGAGGAATTAGAGCACAAAGTGAACTCCCTGCAGCTGAAGCAGGGCTGGTTATCAGAGCCTTATCCAAATATATTTCCAGGTGGGAATCTCTCCTGTAATCGCTGTCAGGGCAGATGAGCTGTGAAACATCCAGCTCTCTCACTGCCTTTTGCTGGGTGACCTTTGTCTGTCTGGGTTTCATTCAAGACAAATCAGTTGTGACATGATGGGTTTGGGATTGGGATTTTTTGTTGTTGTTTAAATCTTGTGGGAAATGATTAATTAAACTTCCATGTGGAAGCTCCCAGCTTGTTTAGATAGTTTATATGTGCATTCACCAAAATATAGCTCAAATAAACTAATAACTTGCAGTACAGGAGGACTGCATCTTACCTAAATTGGAACAGCTCAGCATTTCCTTCCTGTGCAGTATCTAGGTGTCACATGTTGCATGGAGATGCTGATTAAGCTGTGCTTGCCATCAAACTAAACTTCTTTCTATAGGGTCTAGGCAGGGGTCTGTGAATTAAATTCATTTTCCTGCAGGGTCTGTAGCCAGAGGACAGCCTCTATGAGCTATGTCTGTTCTGTGAGCTTTGACTGGCAGGTTCTTGTCTCAGTACTAAGAGTAGTCTGGCAGCCCTCACTGTTCATAGTTGCTTGTAATCAGGTGATGGGTGACTAGCAGTTTCCAGTGCATCCATCCTGGAGCTCATATGTGCTGTTGAGGACTCCTTTTTCTGTTTGGTATTTATCTCACTGGCAGCAGTCCTTGCAGATTAGTACTTCTTAAAGACAGTATGTTATTGATGAAAAAAAAGACTAGATTGGCATCTTTTACCTTTTTCTTAAAGTATCTATTTGCTTCTCTTTTTTGATAGCTCTCACTCAGAGATTCAATGTGTGAGAAGCACTTCATTGCCTTGATTAGTATGCAGGAGAACAAAGAATTGGTGGGGGAAAAAAAGGCTGTTTCTTAAAGATAAAGTACCATGAGCCTAATACACATCTTTCTCTTTCCTTTAAGGCAACTGGGAACCAGTAATGGCTAAATATGATGCTACTTGCTCCCTCAAGAAAATTAAGAAAAAGCTTAATAGGATTCTCAACTGGACAATTTTGTATCTATTAATAACATTTCTAGCAATACCAATGATACAAGAGGAATTAAATTTTATGCTTTAGAGTGTAGAATGTAAGTCTGACCAGATTGGGATCTCAAGTTTTACCCTTGTGGCAATTTCCATAAAGGGAGTGAGTTGCCTTCTCTGAAGCGTGAGCAAACTGTAATTGCCACAGAGAAGGGGTAAGCCCCCATGACTCACACTAGCCCCAGCAGTCCAGCTGCAGGGCTCTGGTCTGGACTTAATGTTTTGGGGAATGGAGCTGAGAAATGCCTAAGGAATTGTTCAGTCAGGAGAAACCACTACCTGGCTCAGGTAGAAGTCCAGCATAGCCTATGAGTTGTTTCAGTGCTGGGCAGGCTGGTTTGCTTACTGCTGCTTTGGTAGTAGCAGTAGTTCGAATAAACCAGGGGCTGTTTCTCATTAAGAGCACAGTACCTCAGAAGGACTGTGAGTCCTAGCACTGCCTTAGAGGACTAATACAGCTTTCACTTCATGCTGCTCATTGTGAAAATCCCTGTGGGAGGGGTACAGTTGCGTGCTAATTTTGTCAGGATCCTGGTCTGGCAGTGGCTTGCATGTCATGGTTGCTCAGTGTGGGAGGCAGTGGTAAAGGTCTGAACTGCTAATTTCTGGCCTGTGCTTGATGTGTTGGGTTTAGACCATGAGTTCCTGTAAGAGAAAAGAAAGAGGGGAAATGTGTGACTGGTTTGAAGGAGCAGAGTATCTCAGCAGGCCAATACCTTACTTGCTTGTGACTATTCAAAATGGAAAGGCACTGAAACACAACAGCAAAACCTTATTAGGCAGCCCCAGTTTTGGAAATGAGAGTGCAAGCAGCGAAATATAGCAAGTAGTGGAAGCCTGTGACATTACAATTACTCGTTCTCTTACCTTGCACACTCATGTCTCCTGTGCTTTCCAAGCAGAGTCTTACTGAGAAGGGCAGGAAGGCTGAGGTCCCTTGTCAGCCTTGCCTGCAACTTGTGCAGTTGAGACAAGTCCTTTGGTTAGAGGCACTCAAGGCATGATCGTGGTGAAAGGAGGGAGCTTAATTGCCTCGGTGTTTTGTGTGCATGTCAAATGGTGTCCTCCCAGGGAGGGTGTGTTGTGCGTAAGGGAGAGGGGAGTGCTGCTGAAGCACCACAGAGTGGCATCCAACACTGGTGATGCTTTTCTTGATTCCTGTGCATGCCAGGGATGGATTATACTAGATCAGTCTGCACATCACACAAAATTTCATTGCATTTAGCTCTAATGTGAGACAGCAATCTCAACAGAGAAGCTAGAAACTGCAGGGCCTGATAGAGTTCACTGGCTTCTAGCAATATAGAAGTGGTTTCTCTAGAGTAGGGTTAAGGGCATAGTGGCAAGAATATGTCATTTCTGAAATTGTTTCTTCATAGGTCCTTGGAGAATATAACCTGTGGAGTTGTCAATGTATAGAATTCCATGAGCTTCAGGTGATTTATATTTAAAAAGTTCATTTGGTATATGCCTAGATACTGCTTTTCAGAGCCCTTCAGATAAAAAACTGATTTCCTCCACTTACCATGGGTCACATTTCTTGTGCTACTGTCACATGTGATTACAGAAACATTTGCAGAATTCCTCACTCTGAATTATTGGGAATGATAGTGCTGGAATCAGGGCAGGCTGGGTGTAATCTTACCCCCTTCCAGCTACTTTGTTGCATCTCTGCCATGCTAAGCCAAATATTTTCAATCTCGTGAATGGCTGATGGTGAATCACTTCAGAGGTTAAGAGGAGGTTCCCCTGGCATGCACAGTGTAGTTTGAGAATTTATGTTTCAGAACAGCTTGCATGGGACATCAGTGTAGCACTGTTCGTAGAGCTCATATAGTATTGATCTGTCTTGCACATCTGTTTGAACTTACATGGTTCTGTTTTAGAGGATGAAGAGGGATTTAGCTACCTGATTCCCATTAAATGTGACTTAATCCTCACATTGTATGCTGCAAATTAACCCTTTTAGAAGCTTCTGTATTGGTACTAATGGGATTAAAGAAAATGAAGGTCTGCATCAAGTTCTGTTAAACCTGTTATGTTTGTGCCTGCTGGTACATAGTGTCTCTCCAAAGCTGAAGCTCTAATGCTCAATATAAAAGTACATTTTATATCAAGCTTTGATATTAGCACACTGGTATAAGCACAGCATGTTTGTACTGTAGGCCACAGTTCCCTGCCAGTGTCAAGCAAAGCAAGGTCAGCCTCTAGCAGCACTGACTCTGGTTCATGGCTAGCGTACAGAGTCCATTGCTGCAGCCATAATTCCACAGCATCAGGGCTTAATCCTGTTTATGTTGAGGATGTCAAAGTCGAGTCCAGCACATAAGACCAGGGGTTGAGGGGGGAATTGCAGTGTTGCAATGGAGCTGATGGTTATAACCATCAGTGTTTCCCTCAGAAGCAGGGCAGGAGATGTCCTGCGCACCAGGTGCATCAGGTGATAGTTGGATCTGGCTGTGCTGGTCTGCAGGCAGCCCTGTGGGGAGGAGAGCAGAGCAACTTGCCTGGCTACTGCAGAGCCTAGGAGGATATCCTGTCCTGCTGTTGGACAGATGTGCTAGAGGAGGCTTCCTGTAGCCTCAACACACTAAAAGCAAAGCACGATTTTGGCATATCTTATGGCTGTAAGTCAATATCAAAATTGAGATGCACATTCTTTATCCTGTAATGTTATGCACATCGAGGTGAATAAACTTAGGTACATTAATCAACATCTTATAGTCCTGGCTTACAATGGAAAGTCCACTTTTGGGAATGCTAGTATGTCAGTGTGACACATTGAATGTGGAATTTGAGGGGTCAGTCTGATGGGTTCTGTACATTTGCCTCTGTTCACACACAGCCCATGAGTTTGTCACAGCTCATTAAATTTGTTTAGATGCTCCCACAGAACCTGCATAATGTCTATGTGGCAATTAGCTTATAATATTGGTGTCCCATAGACTGGGAGTTGTGCTGGCATGGCAATACTGACTCATGCAGTGCAAGTGAGGATGTCCTTGCTAAGAGAAAGCATTCTTGCAACAGGCTGCAATTGAAGTCTGTTAGCAGCAGGATTGCACTTGGATTCTGTATTATTCTGCAGATGACCTTGCCATGAAGAAGATGGGAATATAATGAGGAAAAGGCATGGAAAGTGTTCCACATTCAGTTCTGCAACTAGGACAACTATGGTTTTTTGTATCATTTTCTCTGTCTGTTAAGATTTAATAACTATACCATAAACCTCCTTGTTACATTTATTTGTGTCTTGCAAAGACACCTATCAAGGAAGGTGTCTGTTCAACTGGTTATTTCCCTTTTACCAGTTGCTAGTAACAGGTGGATGAGCGCTTAAATGGGCATGTATGTAATTTTTTGAAGCTGCTAGGAACTATATAACCTGTCTCTCTTCTTATTGCCTCTGGTGACCTTTAGTGTTCCACTGGTGAATGTAAATGACTTCTTTATGCTCTGAAAGGTTTCTGCCATCTGACTCCCTCTTTTTTTTTTTTTTTTTTTTTATATGTCTTTGTTTAAAAAATTGTGAACAGCAGGGGAAAAATAACACCAAATTGTCATCACTAACTTTGAGGGAGCTTTGAAGGAAACTAATAGGAGTTGATGGTGACTCTGCCTGTGTGTGATGCTGCCAGGAAAACAAGTAGCTCTTAACTGACAAGAAGACATCTTCACTGAATAAAGAGCCTCTGAATGTGTTTTTATAGGCATGCTCTAGTTGAGGGATATCCTAGTATTTCCAGTCTGAACAAATAGGTGCAAGTGCATGTGAAATGGAGCAGAAGGCCACTAAACAAGGTTTGGTGTGCCATACCTTTATGCTTTCCTTTCCCTGTCTCTTCAGTGCTGGACTCAGAATTGTTTGTACACTGCTTAGGGATCTTCACATGGGTAGAGCCATATGCTGTCATCTTTTATAAGTGTTCATTACTTCGTATCTCAACTCTGAAATGTTGATCATCATTAAATACTTATCTTTGCACTCTTAAAACAAGGAGTTAGTTGCCAGATCTGAACATTTCATGCCTATCAGACTTTCTGAAAACACATGGGTCTTCCTTTGTGTTCTACTGTGAGATCAGATATGGAAATGAAGTCCATGCTTAGCACATGGATCTGTCACTTTTCACAGGTTAAAGATCGAATTGAGATGGAGCTTCTATGGCTAAAACATCACTGAAGTCTGGAGTTACACCTAATTACATTAGTGGTGAAATTGACCCTAAATTCTTAACAAATCAAGTAGCTGATGCCTTGGTTGTGGTACACTATGTAGCAGAGTAATATATAGTGTGACACAGTGAAGCTTTGCTGTCTGTATAGGAATGATGATTTATAGTGGGAAGTGCACCTTCATTTCATGAAATGTGATTTACTTAGACATAAAGGGGCCAGTTTTAAATCGTTGAGTCTTAAGTGTCTTATTACCTCTGAAAATATGTGCCTGCACTTCTTTTACTTCCCTATAAGTGAGCAGAAATGTATCTTCTTCGGGAAGTTTAGTCTGCACCTCCCCTTCTGTTGTCTGGATTTTAGGTTTATGCCTGGTTAGGTGTAAATGTAGAGAGGATTGAATCCCTCTGGAGCAGAGAAATCCCAGATTATACCACAGGTTCCAAGTCTGTAATGCTAAAGCCACAACATAGCACCATATTTATTAGATAGTCCTCACTTTTTATAAAGGAAAATGTTAGAGGAACTCATAACAAATGCAAGCTGAAAATCATTAATTTTTCCCATATGGAAGCACTAGCCATTCTTGGCTAAAAATCTGACACTCTGTAGGTGAAATTATTTGGGTTTTTTTACATGCTGCAGGAACATTTTCAGGTAGAAAATGTGGCAGAAATAGCACAGAAGCCCAGAGTGTCCCCGGCCTTTTCTAAAGGAGGTAGGGTCTGTGGCTGGCTCCCATCAGTAAAAGTTACTCTGTTGCATACTGGATTATTGATGCAGACCTTGCTGCATGGTTTTGCCATGCCATGCCATGCTCTACATTAGATCAAAACAAGGAAGCTCATGCAGGATTTTATCAGCGTTCCTGAACTGCTTGAGCCAGCCTCAAACTTAAGTGTGGCTTAATCTTGCCCCTCATAAACTGAAAAGCTGGAAGCATAACAAGTCCACTAAGCTGGTAAGCTGTGACATGTTTTCCTTTTTTCTTCTTTTGAGATCAAAACTTGTTTAACCTGACCTCAGTTGCTTAGGGAGGGGGAGGAAAAACCATATCGAATTGTAATTATTTTTCCTTTTCTTTTCTGAAATGTAGGTCTACAGCATCAGGACAAGAGCAAGGAAACTTCTTGGTTCTGAAGTGCAGACAAATTAAGACCAGCTAGAGCTGGAGTCAGCGCAGCTGGGCGGGCAGTATAACAGTCGTTGACTCCTTCAGCATGGAGCAAAGGACACACATGAAGAGACAACTATTCTGGTTTTGCTATTGAGCCTTTTGTTTGTAAGGCTATTTATGGGTCCCACAGTGTTGGAAAACAACATAAACCTAACTTTTCTTTCTTTCCTCATCTGAGCCTGCTGCAGCTGGGCAACCTAACTCCTTTCTGCTCCTTTAACAGTGTTTTGTTCTGTTCAGCTTGATATTTTTATGAACAGTCTCAATTGTCAGGAAAAAGATTATCCCTTGACTACAGTGCGCCTCCTTTCAGGAATACAGTATTTTGTAGCTCTTTGTGCATCTATTTTTGTAGAAATACAGAAAGTTTGGGTAAGGATTGATGGGCTATTTTAGGATGACATATTTTTTTAAAAAAAATTGTAAAATTGTAAAGTTCTGTTTAAAGAACTTGCTCTCAGAGAAGCACTGGCAAAAATGTATAAAATGCTATTTTTAGATGTCTGTGATGTGTTTGTGCATTTTGGGTTTTTTTTGTTTGTTACCTCAAATGTCTATCTTTTCTTTCTTTTTAAAGAGCTAAACCTTGTTTCCACATTACTAGATTTTGATGTTTTTGTCCCGTTGTTCAAGCCTAATCAAGTATAATTCGCACCTAAAGTTTCAGCCAAATATTTTTTTCTGGTGTTAGATTGTAATAAGTGTGCTTTTATATTTCTTGCTTCTAAAGGTGGCTTTGTGCTGTGCTGATTGTCAGAAACTTAAAAACACCTTTAGCATGGAGCAGAGCTTGAGGTTACAGAAACTGCATTTCCAACCCATCCATTCTTTCAATATGGACCAAATACTCTTACAGATTTAAATCAGACATGAATTTGGGCCTCATCTATGATCCATTGAAGCTGTTGAACACAGTCCCCTGTGGGTTATGTTTCAGGCCCTCGTAGTGCTCATAAATATCAGTACAGTCTTAAAGGCAGGACTTTTTCAGCTAAGTCCTTTCAAGGGTGGTACTTACAACATCAATAATCAGGGGGAAAAAATAGGCCACATTTATTAAAATATGTGATTTGTGGAAGCAAAACCTTTTCAACTGACCTCATCTGCATGCTGAGCACCTCAAGGAAAGCACTGGAGTTTTCAACTCCCATTGACTTCAAAATCTGTTTGTCTGACCTAAGTTGTGCTATGGGCCTTGCGAGACCCCAGCTGCAGCTCTTGAATTTCGTAACAAGTTGCACGTGCTCAGTGTGCACACACTGAGGCTCTGCTGCTGTCAGGGTAATAATCTAAACTTGGAAAAAAGATGGCCATATCTAGCCATAGCACTCTGCACAGTGTTTGAGAAACCCACTTTCTGACCTGGACCTTGGGTCTGACTTGCATAATAAGGACTTTAGTCGATGCCAAGGTGAGCGTGATCCAATCCTGAATAAGGGCTGCAAGATCACCCTTGGCATCCCCAGTGCTGCCATGGCCTGGAGCTGGCTCAGCCTATGTGCCCAACTCTCAGTGACTTCAGTGAGTGTCAGCATGTGCTTAGGTGGGACTGTGGTGAGCCCAGGATTGGGACCTGGGTTGCCAGATCCTGCCTGTTGCGTGGAGATGTTGCCTTTCTGCTCTGTGCATCCAGGGTCCCTCTGTAGTATTTCCTAAGGTTCTTAAAACCTATTATATTTCTGTTACCACTGTTTTCAGATGTCCCTGTTGGAAGGACACACCAGCTGAATGGAAACCAAGACACAAACACATGGCTGAGTTAAGAAACGGTTTAAATTTAAGGCACTGAGCATTGTAAGTGTAGTTTTGTCAGGTGGAGACCACATGGATCTGCGTGTGAAAGGGGAGGGGGGCTGTTGGCATATGCATGCTACTCCAAGGTTCAGGGCTCCCTCCGTGCACTGCTGCTTCCCTTCAGGCTTTTTGAATTTGATCCTATGAGGTGTTGAACGTTCTCCCTTGTCACATGAGAGGACTTGACATGGTGGCACTGGAGGCATTATGTCACAATTTGGCAAGGCCCTTAGTTATGTACCTTGCTAATTTGAAGTTTGAGACAGCATTAAAGTGCTGAATGGACTGTGCTTAAATACTGCTTTAAAATAGTAGGGTTGTAGTTTCTGTGTTGGAACAGTGAATGGGAAGGAATGTAGTAATAGCTGCCGCAGTTAATTTTCTTGTAAGGACAGTATAGTTCAGGAAATATCTCAAGAATAAGAGTTTTGATTTAGGAATTCTGACAATACTAGAAATACTGGAAGGAAAAAAAATCCAAGCTTTTATTTTTTTCCCTGTACTGCTCAAAGCTGGAAGGCAAAGAGACAATGTGCCCTCTTTAAACTTCAGGAGTAGAGAGTTCGGATGGCAGGGGGAGCAAAAGAAAAGGCAACATTTATTTTTGAGGTGTAGTGTGCTTGACTTCCTGAAATAGTTTAAAGTCTAGCATGAGCAGTCTGTTCATTGCCTTCCTCTTTGCAGGTTTATATGATGAGGGTCCTCCTCCTGTTCCATACAGATAACAAAGCAGAAATGGGACAGGAGAAAAACAGACCTGCAGTTTGCACTGGGATCTCTTTCTGGATTGTATTATTGAGTTGATGGGTAGTAGAGATGACTATGTGGTGAAGCTATTGCCTCTTCCATCTCAAGGACTACTGTTCTGTGCCCAGTTTCCACTGCTAAACCTGTAAGCTGAAGGAACTTGTGTTGCTCTGCAGATTCTGGGAGACAAGTGCCAATCAAAACCTGCTATTGTCTGTAGCCATTCATGCGCCAGTCAGTCGATGTAAAGTTAAATAATTTTTGTCTTTTTTTCCTCAGGCACTAATTGTTCCTTGTACTAACAAGTGAGTTGAAAGCAAAAGCATACGTGCATAGCTGTAGCCCTGCTTCTGTGTTCTGCAGTCTGAAGGATGGAAAAACGGAAAAAATCTTTTCCCTGTGACAAACTTTTCAGTTAAATTCCGCAGATTTGCTTCTCTCTCTTTCTCATACACGCACACTTGCACATATGCACAATTGTGCTTATGAGAAGCAGATGCTGTGATGGTTTTGTTCTTGAAAGAGGAGGGGAGTGCTCACTCGCAGTGTTGCATTTATGGAGAATTGATGGCAGTGAGAAAGAAAACGAAATGTTAAGACTGCTCATATTTCCACAGATAGGAAAAAAAGGCCCTTAAAATCAGGTCACAGATAAGTTATGTGTCTTAACGCATTACTAAAGGAGTTGTTTCATTCTTTTTATGTGTGGTGAGTTCTGATGCTGTCCCAAGAAAGTGGATGATTCATTTTGAGAGGACTTATAAAACATGTTGTACTCTGTCACTATTTCTGGGAGAACGTAGGGAAATTACTGTTTTATTTCAAGAAAATCAACATACTAAACTCCATGAAGTTGTCCAGTATTTTATTTTATTCCTGTTAATGTTGAGAAATCTGCCATCAATTTTTATGTCTTTATTTGAAGAGCATGAGGGTTCAGGCTGTCCACCAGTTTTTGAAAAGCATATGCCAGCTTTGTTTCAACTGCCCACTTCCATCCCAACAAGATGATGGAATAGTACAGCTACTGACCTCCCAGGAGATGTAATTTCTGGAGAGCTGAATAAGCTGCACTTGGCAGTAGTAAAATGCACTGTGTTCTGATTCCTTTCCTCACCAGACACACAAGTTCAGTTATCACTTTATCTGATACCTCTTCTGTAGTATGATGATGGCAGTTTTCTCTGAATCGTCTACTCCTGCATCAAAACACACTTTTGAGAATGAATCTCATCACAGCTTTCAGAAAGCAGAGGTTGCAGGAGGGGAGTGACACATTTCCCCCCACCTGCACTTAGGATTGCCTTGCCTGCACCCTACCTTTCTGCTTCCAGGATGTCATGTATGTCTTGCTGTCCTCCCACAATTGTTTATGTATATGTATATATTTTTATACATATATGTATACACACATAGAAGTGTAGGTATACTTAGTTCTCTCTATTCCACCCTCATGCTTCAAATGCACATCCTTTGGAAATTAAGTGACATCATCAAATCTCATCTGAGATGGAAAACGTAGGTATTTTATTGTGTTCTCCATTAACTCAGGAGTGAATAGAATTTTTATGTAATTGTAAAAAAACCAACAAAAATCCCAACAAAAACCCTACCAAAAAACCCCTTTCAAATCACCTGATTTGTTGTATCTGTAAAGATGACCATAGAGTTATGTAGGGAGGTGCAATATATTGCCTTTCAGCAGATGAGCATATCTTTGAATATGATTCTTTTAATTAATTTCAGGTACAAGCTTTTTTCCCGTATCAGTGGACCAGCAACATATATTTCTTACAAACAATTTAGAAACATATTTTTTTAAGTTGACTTCTTGGTTTTAGTATGTCAGCCTTTGAGCTTTTAAAGGGTATTTGGGTGATAAATATTGTTTGTGTGTGGGTTTTTTAAAAAAGTTGATGCATGTTGTTTGGAACTGAAATCTCATGTAAAGTGGGAAGGTATTTAAAAATAAATACTGCTTTTACGTATTAGCCCTATGGGCACAATCTGGTAGTTGTGATGCAGGAAGAAAAATGAAGGGACTCTTGCCTGAGCAAGTTCAAAATCCAGTCCTGTGACAGGAGAGGCAGACGTGGTCGTCTTGGAGAGGTTGAGCTGGTAGAGCTGAGAGCAGAGATGATCCTTTCCAGCCAGCATTATGTATAGATGGTTGGGCAGTCACTGCTCAGCATACTCAATTTAGGCTGTGTTAGCAGATTTATGCTTATGGGGTGAACTGGTTGCCAAGGGGAATTGTAGATGTCCTTGGCAACCTGTGTTGTAGCTGCCTTTGGTCTGGAGAGTGCCCATGACCCTCTCACTGTTATTGCTCTACAGTCTCCTTGACACCATGATGGGACCTGTGAAAGCTGGGCTGGAGTTCCCTCTGTAATGCAAGATGTCTTTAGCTCCCATTAAAGAAAATTTAGGGATGGGGGATCATTACAATATCACAGTTGGCTCATGCACCTGCTCAAAGGCTCAAGCCTTAAAGACATATCAGCTGTGCATCATTGATCATGGCCATTTGCCTACAGGAGCCTGAATATTGCTTCCTCCCCTCAGTGTCTTTGGAAATCTGCAGTGGCATTGAGATCATTGGGACCAGCCTTGAATTGCGGTTCAGTGGCGGCTGACTCAGCGTGGTGGCCTGGGGTCTGGTCCAACATAGTCAGACATCAGTTGGAATCAGCATCGATTTTATTGAGCTTGGGCTCAGGTAACTAGTACCTGTAGGCAACCGATATAGCAGTTGAGGTTTACAGCAATCAACTAAAGTATCTGCAGAACTGTGCTGCACTTTCCCTGCTAGCTGTTTGTAGCTGTTGTTTAAAACCATCAGTCAAATCAGGGTCCCTCTCCTCCCCCCACCTGCTTTCCAACCCTGCTTCCCTCAAAACTCCATTGAACTTCTTTGCCCCTTTTATCAAAACTGATGGGGAGGGCTTTGTATAAAGAAAAGTG